CCTCCTCCCTGCCCCCCACCCTCCGTTCTAACTCATTCACCCTCCTCCCTGCGCCCTCACCCGCCTCCCTGCCTACACCCCAGGCATCGCTTACCACATGACCCCTTCCTCAAGCTCAGCACCCAATCCCTGAGGCTAGAGGAGGTTGAGGACCTCATGAAGCCCTGAGGCCCATTTCCCAGTTGGAAATACTGTGCCCAGTTCCAAGTCCTGAGGTTCTGAGAGGTGGAGCTGAGACATGAGCCGGGCTTCACTGGCCTGCCCGGGGCTGCGCGGGAGGTTTCTGGGTCTTTTTGTTATAGTAACACCAGTGGCTGCTGAGTCCCAGCTCAGTGTCAGCTGCACCGCTCAGTACTCTGCACAGGGCAGATGAAGGGGCCTTCACTGCACGCCTGTGAAGTGCAGGTTCTGCCCTCACCCTCGTTTTCCAGAAGAGAAACTGGGGACAGTCCCTGCAGCCTGCCCCTGGCCCAGCCCTATCCTTCCACTGTCCACCCAGCAGGAGAAAGCCGCCTAGGCAGCATCTCGAAGCTAGGAAAGGACAAGTTCGAAGCCCTCCTTCGTGGAGGCAAAACTGACTCCCAGGGGCCCTGGCCTGGCTCCACTCCCAGCAGCAGAAGCTGGATTCTAACCCGGGTCAGAGAGGCGTGGGGTTGTTTAGGGGAAGCGAGCGCAGCCCAGACCCCAGGGCTTGGTGGGCCATGGGCCTCAGAGCAAGGCTCTGTCCCCATCCCTTTCCTCCACCTCTGCCCCAGCCTCCGAGTCATTTCCCCAGAGGTGGCCAGGAGAGGGCTGAGAGTTTCTGTGCCCTACAGTTTGGAGACGCCGGCCTGCGGCTCCTGTCGGAACACCTCACCATGCTCCAGGTGCTGAACCTGTGCGAGACCCCGGTCACAGACGCTGGCCTGCTGGCCCTGAGCTGTGAGTGCCTCGGGGGCAACTGGGGGGTGAGGGGCTGCTTTATTCATTCCTTCTTTGCTTCAACCAAACTGGCCAAGCGCTGACTTTGCACCATGCACAGATAGAGAAATTTATTCATTCACGAACATGTGTTCACTGCACACCTGCTGTGGACCAGGCACCATTCCAAGGGCCAGGAACGACACAGAGAAAAATATTCCTGATCTCAGGGAGCTTATATTCTAGAGGCAATAGAAAAAATGAATAAGGCCAGCCTGGGCCCTCCTGACACTCACAGTCCACTGAGGGGTCAAGTTCAAGAATGGGGCTGTAGTGTGTTGCCACTGTGGTCCCCCGACCAGTGGCGGCAGCGTCTTCTGGGGGCTGGTCAGAAATGTCCATTCCCAAGCCCACTTCGGACCTCCTGACTCAGACACCGCACGGTAAGCAGATGTCTGGGAGACTCCCGGGCCCGTTGACATTTGAGAAGCCCTGTCATAATAGAAGGAGCCACAGAATTCTCAAGGAACCTAGAAAGGCCAATTCCTGTGTCCCAACCCCAACTGACTGAACTACCCTCAGGGACATTGAGCTCAGCCTTCTGTATTTGACCGGCTTTCCCTATTCCAGGCCCACTGCTTTAAACCAGAAGACCCGTGGCTCAGTGGGAAGAGTCAGAGAAGGCTTCCGGGGGAGGTGCTGTTGAATCTGGGTGTGAAGACAGATTTGTGGGAGTTGGCCAAGGGGGAGGCACCCTGGGCAGGGGTCATGACTCCTACCGGGTCATTGGCAAATTCTGGATGGCTTGGGAGGAGGTGGGGGCAGGTGACTGGGTCAATGGAAGCAGAGAGGCAGCGCTCGGCCAGTTTGGCTGCAAATGCAAATGGACTGCTTCCACTGGCATTCCCCGGGGGGCGCGGTCCTCATGAACAGTGCGGATTCCTGGTCCCCGCTGCAGCGCTGCTCAGCATCTCTGGGAGTGGGTGGAGAGGTCTGCTCTCCTTGTGACTCCAACACAAAGCAGAGGTTGAGGCTTGCTTTCAAGAAGCAGCACCCGAGTCAGTGACGATGGCGGGGAGCATCCGGGGTTCCCTTAGCGGGGAGATCTTGGGCCTGGTCTGGGGTGTGGCAGGCAAGCTCTGGGGACATCAGGTCCAGGCAGTGGGGGGACACGACAGAGGGACCAGAAGGGAAGGGAGACTCAGCGGATGGGAAGAGAACGAAGGCTCTGTTCAGACCAGCACATGCCTGAAACAGACTTTCAGTGTCTAGTAGGCCACCTGTCCTGGCTGTGCCTGCGAAACCTTCCTCCCCAGCCCCATCTCCTAACAGGGGGCCTGGCACCTACGTTCAGCTCCTCCAGCTTGGCCATCCCATACCGGCATACCTCTGGGGCCTCACTCTCCTAACAACTGTATCTGTCTCTTGTACAGCCATGAAGAGTCTCTGCAGTTTAAACATGAACAGCACCAAGCTCTCAGCTGACACCTACGAAGATCTGAAGGTAATTCCATCCTTCCTCCCCTCTCTCCTCCCCTCCTTTCTCCAGCCGGCATCTGGATGCCGGTGCATCTGCTGCCCAGAGCTCATTCTCCAGTAAAAGACGATGACACCCGCAGATCAATACATAAATAAAGGCAGGTCAAAAGGAGTAACAAAGAGGAAGCAGCAGGGAAGTCATTGGAAATAGGAGGGCCTGTGTGGCCTGGGGTGATCAGGGATGGTCCCTTTGATGAAGAGGCCACAGGAGCTGAGACCCAAAAGGTAAGAAGCCAGAAATACAAAGGGCGAGAGGAAGAGCAAGTGTCAAGGTCCTGAGACAGAAGAGATTGGCAAGGCCTGGCTTTGTAGCAAATGTAGCCAGGAACTGAGAGAGGGAATGGGCTGGGGCCGGGTGAAAATGTCCTCACAGGTCACAGCAGAGCAGTGAGTCACGCTTTTCAAAGCGTGCTCTGGGTGTTAGGAAATAAATATTTTGAGAGGGAGCAGGAGTAGAAGCAGGGAGGGCTGAGCAGGGCGGGTGCCTCACACCACTGAGGGCTGCACTGCACCAGCACTAGGCCAGCAAGTGAAATCAGGGAAAGAAAAAGGATCAGAGGGTAGAAGGCAGGGGCGTTTTAAGAAATGCACTTGCACGTCTTGGGAAGGTTGGAGGAGCCAGGCCTTCAGTCGCCTCCTGTCATCCTGTCACCCCATCCTCCTGGGGCTGTACCAGCTGCCCCAGAAGGAGCAGACGGGACCGGCAGAGGGCCAGCATCCTGGGAGGGAAGGGCTGGGCTCAAAGGTGAGAAGGCACAGATGGCGCCCATGAGCCATGCTGGCACCTCCGTGCCCTGGAAGCCACTTAGAGGGAATCCCCCGGCAGCCCTTGGCTGGGGCCCATCTCCTACAGCCAGGCCTCCTGCCGCCAGGGCGTGCTCACTGGGGCATCCTCCAGATGCTTCTGGAGCCTCTGCTGTGTACCAGGCCAGTGTCAGAGACCGGGACACCAAGGTGTGGCTGCCACAGCCCCTGCCCGGGAATAGTCTCCCCTGGCAGGCACAGGCAAGCTCAGCAAACCAAGGTGGGCACAGGGCCTGGTGGGGCCCGGAGGGACAGTCAGCAGAGAGTGAGGTCCAAGAGAGGATGTATGGGACGCAGCAGGTGGCAGGGGCACAGCCAGCAGATCACTCACCCCAGCGTTTAGACCTCAGCACTCAGGGTGGCATCTGCAGACCAGCGCCCTTGGCACTACTTGGGGGCCAACAGAAATGCAGGATCCAGGCCACCCCAGGTAACCCCACCCTGGGGGATCCCTGTGCACACTCATGTTGGAGAAATGCTGCCTGGATTATCTTGAGTTCAGAGTGCAGAAAGTCAGACGCTACTGAGAACAAGCTGGAAAGAGGACATGAGGAGTGCAGGAAAGGCCACTTGGGAAGAAAAATCACTTTCAGTCGATTTTTTCATTTTCACACATTTGAGAGAGACATGGTGCCAACTTGATGCTGCCAGCCTGTGACCAGCCTCCCTGTGGAGGGGACTCGAGCAAACAGCAGCTGCTTATCCTTTGGAGGAGGAGCCTACACTCAGTGCCAGGCAGGCCACGCCCCACTGTTCACTGCCCAGTCTGGCCAGACCTTCCCATTTTTCAAGAGCACCTTGAAACCTAGATTCTTCTGCGAAGTCTCCTAATTTTGAAGGGCTGGCTTAGTACGCTTTATAGCACTGCAGGTGGCTGCAGGTCCCCACCTGTGACCTCTGCCTGGGCAGTGGGGAGCCATTGAGGGTTGTTGAGCACAGGAGAGCAGCAGTGAGGAATTGCATGTGCGTGTGTGTACATGTGTGCGTGTTCATGCATACATATGTGTACATGCATCCAAAAAGTATGCTGGCCAGTGTACAGGAAAGTTGGGAGGGAGGAAGTAAAGGCGTGATGCCAGTTAGGAGGCAGCTACCTCTCTGTAGAGTGGAGGCTTGTTAAGAAAAAAAGCCAGCTGTTTGTAGAAGAAGAGTGGAAGTCTGAGTAGCAGAAACAGAAAGCAGAAAACAATGGAGAGACGCAGCAGGTGGAATCGTAGAGTCTAGCAACGCATCCAGCAAAGGGGAAGCCCCAGGTGAGAAGAATCTAAGCCAAACCCCGGGTACCTGGGACTTACTGGGATCCGCATCACTCACCCTGTCCATTTTCTGATAACGATGAGAATATCACTAACAGTAAAAATAAGAACAGTTTCCTTTCATAGGGCTTATAACGGTGCCCTGGGCTTTCTGCATTTGCTATTTAACCCCTAGCCCTATCCTCTGAGCCAGGGACTAGAATCAGATTGGCCCACACAGGAAGAAACTGAGGCTCCGAGAGGCTGGGTTATCTGCCCACGGTCATGCAGCAGCAAGTGGCAGGGCCTGGGTTCAAACCCCAGTGCTTCCACTTGCAAAGACAGAGACCGAAGCCTCTCTGAGGTGGGTGCATGGGAGCCCCACTGCCTGGTTTCTCTGGGGCCAGGGCACATCCCACCTGCTCTGTTGTCTGCCTAAGGCCACCCAACCCTCCAAGAGCCCAGGGAGCCCACAGCACCAAGGTGGGGAGAGGGTGGCAGGGACCCCCAGCCGGCAGTGTGCGTGGAGTCAGGCACTGTCAGCTTCTGCAAGGGAATGGCCTGCACGTGACAAGGACCCTTGTTGCTACCCCCAGGCCAAGCTTCCCAATTTGAAGGAAGTGGATGTCCGCTACACTGAAGCCTGGTGAAGCTCCCAGCTCGAGCAGGAAGACATTTGCAACCGCGACAAAACAACTCTTGACTAAGCCGCAGAGCAGCCGGTCCTGGGGTCCTACCCTGGTGCCCTGGCTGTGAGATAGATGGGGAGTCTTTCTGGGGGCGGAGGGGGG